ATCAGCTGATCGAGAACCCATTTAGATCGTCACGTTTAGATCAGATCGAGGGTGGCGTGACATGGAAATCAGAAGGGTCGAAAATTAACCTCATCCACATGACTCGTGTCACCTAAACCACAAGCACCTATCATCATCTGCTTCTTCTCAAGTGACACTTGAATCCGAAGATTCGAACACCAACTTTCACCCGATAAAAACTTCAGTTTATTAACTCGATTTTCTTCTTCTTCTTCATTGATTTACTTTAATCGTCTAAACAAAACAACCGCTTGAAACTGCAGCAAATGTCAATTCATTAAAGTGACATTACCTGTTATACGTCACATTCTGTTGTTATTCAAAGCACGTGAGATTTTATAAAATTGTATTTGATTATGTTTTCTACTCACAAATCAAATTAAATCATTTAATTAAAAAAATCAATTATCAAGTAAATTAAAAAAAAATAATTTGTGACAATTTAAGAAAAAAATGATAAACTTTCGATTTTCACATTTTTTTTTTCTTTTGAAATAAATTTAGAAACTATTTAATTTCCGAATTATTTTCATAACAATTAGTACTATTACTATATTCCATTGAATTATACAATTTTCTTCATTAAACACATATTTTTTTGTTATGTAAAACTTTCATTTTTATTTACTTCCTGAATCTAATTCATTCAAAAGTAAGAACAATTGGTTTCTTCATATTCCTTTCCAATTATTGCAATACCTCGCATCGGATCACTATAGTACGGATCCAAAACAAACTAAATTTTAATTGGACAAAATAAATTAAAAAAAAAATAGCATAATTATTACATAAATTCTCAGTTTCTTCATCTATACAGTCAAGGTTTTAAAGTCCTCAATTAGTACGGTTTTAAACAATCCAAGACATTTGTTTAACAAATTATTCTCACTATTCGAGGTATTCATAAAAAAATTACTTTATCCAGGTCATTGGTTGAACCAATTATCCGCACTATTCGAGGTATTGCTGGATGTACATCTGTATTAATAAAAAAAATGACTTAGCTATAATCGTGTATTGACAGCTTCATTTAGATTGATCAATCATCTCCTCAATTAGTACAGTTTTAAACAATCCAGGACATTTGTTTAACAAATTATTCTCACTATTCGAGGTATTCATAAAAATACTTTATCCAGGTCATTGGTTGAACCAATTATCCCCACTATTCGAGGTATTGCTGGATGTGCACCTGTATTAATAAAAAATGATTTAGCTATAATCATTTAATGAGCAGCTTCATATAGATTGATCAATGATCTCCTCAATTAGTACGGTTTTAAACAATCCAGGACATTGGTATAATTGATTATCCGCGCTATTCGAGGTATTGCTGTATATACACCAGTATTAATAAAAATGACATTTAGATTGATTTATAATCTCCTCGATTAGTACGGTTTTAAACAATCCAGTACAGTAGTTTAACCGCACTATTTTAGGTATTTATTAATATAAAGTACTTAGCTATAATTATGTATTGGGTAGCTCATTTTCATTGATCAATCATCTATAAATTAGTAATTCACATATTAAAAAAAAACTCTATAATTTCCAAAATTAAACCTTCTAACAAACTAGCTAAAAACAGTTTGAATGCAATTTTTTTTTGTTCGGGAAGGGGAAAACATCATAAACGTTTATTGTGTTCCGCCATTGCAGCGACGTTTCGTTCCCCAAGTAAATGTAATTAAATGGAAACAATAAAGATAAGCCGAGATGTAAATATAAATATCGTGCAAAATAAAATAGAGAGAGAGAGAGAGAGTGAGTGAAAGAGGGAGTAGAGAAGGTATAGACACGTACAGAGAGAAACGGCAAATATATTTAAGTGCAATCGTGGAAACTGAACGTAATAACACGTGTTTAAACATTGGAAAAACGTAAAACAACATTGGACGAACAGCAATAAGCTTTCGTGATAATCATTATATTATGCTCGTAAAGAGATTTAACGAAATCCCATGGAAACATCACTATCTTTAAACGAATTGCGGCTGTGTTTACACGTATTTTCTAAGTCTAGAGTAGATTTTTTTTAAATACGTAAATATGTTCAAGTTTATATAACAAGTTTTATATAATATAAAACAAATTTGTTTGATTTTTATATATTTTTGCTTTCTTTCTATCAAAGATTTATTTCTAAATAACAATTGTAACTGAATAAAAATGAAAAATTTTGCTTCAATTATTTTTATACTAAAAAGTGTTAAAAATAAGATATTTATTCACATAAAAACTAAATTTATTAGTCATTAAATCGCCTCATATATCAAAAAAATATGGTCTGATAAATATTTGTTTGATTTTTATTATTTTGGTTGTTTCTATCAAACTTTCATAATAAAAATTACAAATTTTGCTTCTCATTACTTTTTGACTAAAAAATGGACAAATTAAGGTATTTAGGTATGTTTATATACAAACGGAACTATATTTGTTAATTAGTCATTAAATCACTTCAAATGTGATCAAAAAATAGATTCTGAAAAATATTAAACTTTTATTTGATTTATATTATTTTTATTGTTTCTATCAAACAATTATTTTCAAAAAAATGACAAATTTTGATTCACATTATTTTTTTTACCAAAAAGTGGACAAATTAATATAATTAGATATGTTTATATACAAAAAAAACACAATTTATTAATTAGTCATTAAATAGCATCAACTATGACCAAAAAACAGATTCTGAGAATTATTAAATTTTTATTTGATTTTGATTATTTTTATTGTTTCTATCAAACAATTATTTTCAAAAAAATGACAAATTTTGCTTCACATTATTTTTTTACTAAAACGTGGGCAAATTAAGATATTTAGGTATGTTTATATAAAAAAAACAAAATTTACTTATTAGTCATTAAATCGCATCAAATGTGATCAAAAAATAGATTCCCAAACTTTTGTTTGATTTATATTATTTCTATCAAACATTGATTTCCAATTAAAAAATGAATAACAAATCTTACCTTAAAAATTTACAAATTTTCGTTAATTTTGTTCCATTTTTTTTACTGAGAAATTAACAAATTAAAAAAATATTTAGATACAAAAGAAACAAATTATACAATAAAATCTTAAAAGGATTTGCTTAATATTTATTTTACTAACAAGTAGAAATTTTTATATAAATAATATTTAGTAAAATTCGCCAGTTTTTGAGGTATAAATTTAATTTGCTCTATTTAAATTTATACCTCAAATACTGGCGAATTTTACTAACTATTTTTTATATACATACATTTCTTAATTTTTCATAAAACTTATACAAATATGAAAAGTAAAGAAAAATTTACACAAGAAAATTTAAATTAAATTGTTAGAAAAAAAAACTTAAATGAAATATAATTAGAAAATCATGTTATCATTTTTACATACATATAAATATTTGTAACAAAGTAAATATAAATAACAAAGTTATAAATAACTTAACGTAAATACCATAAAACGACAAATTTGATCCAATTAATTTTAATATCAAAATTGTATACAAAAAAATATTAATTAATTAATTAATTAATTAGTTAATACTAATTAAAATAGAGTTTGATATGCTTAATTTGAAGAAACGCAGATGCTTATGGTAATTAATGTAGACATCTATAAAGAGAAATGAGTGCGGCCATTCTTAAAAAGATGTCGCTGATGTCAACCATTTAAGTTTCAATTACAAATTGAGATAATCGAAAATAATTATCATATTTATTGACAAAATCATCTCAGAAAACGGTCACTAAATATATTTCAAAGACATTTATCATCTTTAGTTATATGATTATTTACAGTAAATGTTTAACTATGTCATAAATTAATCCTCCAAAGTTTCGAATAGATTTCTTTAAAAAAAAAACAATAACAACAAAATTTTTATTTATGTTTATCTGACTAAATCTTTATTTATTATGCTTTGATTCAAGGAATAAAAGGAAAGCGTATTCGTGATGAAAAAGAAAGCACAAGATTTTCGGCGTGATTTGCTTAGGCCGAACAACAATCAATCCATTTATCCGAACGTAACCATCATTCTTTTTTTCCTTCCCTCTCTCACTGCTTCCTCCATCCCATAAATATTGACTCTACCGAATGTAAAATAAATAATCCTTTCATGAAGCAATTGTGCAAATAGAACAAAGGTAACGTTGAACCACCAATATTTATATAATCGAATGGATTTTTATGGTAACACAAAAAAAGATGAAAACTATGCAACAAACACAAAACAAAAGCTTACAGTTTATATGCTTAGAATAAGTTTATATAACAATTTATGAATGAATTAGTATATTTTTAAGAGTAGTGTTTTTTTTTTAGAACTAAATAATAAATAAATTCTTTTTCCTGAAAATCAACCGAAATACAACGGAATTAATAATTCTGTCTTGCCGCATACATTTGATGTTTTACAAACATGAATTCCCAAAGTATGGGACAATAAAGTTAAAGAAAAAAAAATATAGTTTCTTTTGAAATTTTTCCTAAATCTTAACGGAGCGTGAAAAGGTTTTTTTTTCTTCTTCCAGAAAGTTTTCTACCTGTCCCAAGAGACACCTGAATTAGGGCTGTGAAATTGCAAATGCAATTTTAATTGTATCTTAAGTGATTGACTGATCGAATTCATTAAATGATATTGGATTTTTTTTCGATTGATATACAATTTTAATTGTTAATTGATCATGATTTGGTATTAAGGTTGTAAAAAGCAGTATAAATAAAAGCGTTTGGATTCAACTTAAAAAACAAACATTTTTTCTTTTAATAAATAAGAAATGGTCATATAATATAGATATTTACATAACTATGGAAGTAATATTTACACATGCAGTACATGTATGTACAATAATCATAATTTTTTTTTTTTTTGGAAAAAAACGGATAATCAACAAACATTCTTTTCAAAAACAAAAAAATATCTTATATAAATAAATATTAATTCTTCATTAAATTAATATTTTTCTCTCTTTTATGCGAGCGGTAACTCTTATTTGTTTTCTTTTCATTCATGTCGTTCAGTCTTCTTTTGAGAAATTAACACGAATACTGTGTTTAAATAGAATTAAAGAAGCGGAAGTTTTGGTTATTGAACCTCCGTTTCAATTCTTCTCAATCTTTGGTACGAGCGAAATACTATTGTAGCGAGCAAATTTGTTTATCGCCTGAGGATGTCCTCGATGCTGAAGCCCAGCTTCTTCGGTGCAACGATTTCAGTTTTCAGCGTGCTGCTGCTCTGCTTGACGGGGCTGAGATGTTGAGGAACGGCGTTGTTGCTGATTGTTGATGTCGTTGGTGAGAGCACCATGTGAACGTTAGCTTCGTGCACCTTCAACTCGCCGTAAGTGGCGAAGTACTGTCCGCACTGATTGCAATCCCACGATCTTTCCGTGTGCGTCAACATGTGCGTTTTCAGATTCGATCTCTGGTTGAAGGGTCTGCTGCAGATAGGGCACTTATGCGGGGATTCTTCCATGTGCAAGATCTTGTGGACAGCGAGAGTGCGCGATTGGCAGAATCCTTTACCGCATTCAGTGCACTTGAAAGGCTTCTCCTTGCTATGGATGTATCTAGAAATAAAAGATAATTTATTAATAATTTTGTCGTTTTTAATTGTAGTTTATGTATTGGAATTATGATTGCTAATTATGTTTTTTTTTGTTTAGTTTAAGAAGATAATTACCTATGATCTCTCAGATGGTCCTGCCTCCTGAAAGCTTTTCCGCAGATATCGCAAGAGTACGGCCTTTCATCAGTATGCGTCCTCTCGTGGATGAGCAGATTGTAGCTCTTGGTGAAGTGTCTGTTGCAGTATTTGCAGATGAACTGCTTCTTCGGTCTGGTTCCTGCGGTGGTTTTTGCAGGCGCCGGTGGACGTCCTGGCATCCTGACTTCTCCGACTCTTCCCCCTTGGTACATGCTGACGCTCCTCAACCACTGGTTCATGAGCATAGCGTTGTACGGGTACTGCTGGTACGGATAAGACAAATACTGTTCGGTCGCGGTTTTTGGTAGAAGATATGAGAGTTGCTGCTGCTGAAGTTGCGGCGGCGGACTGAATGTGGGCGTATGGGGCGGCGTCAGCAACGGTGACGTGCTGTCCGCTTCCTGTTTGATTTCGTAATTTTCGTAACCTATAACAAGAAAAGAGACGGCGTATTAGTAAAATCCAATTCGGTTGTGCACTGCGTTTTGTTCACTGTTTCACTATCATCAGAAATATAATCCAAGTTTGAGAAACACTGATTTGTATATGATATGTACCTTCGGGCTTCATCAACCTCGAATCCACGTAATCACTGATCATCGACATGTCGCTGCTGTGTCTGTATCTTCAGAGTTAACACTACTTTTCCAAGTGTATCACTGTCACTACTACTTCTACTACTACTGCTGCTGCTGTTGCTGCTACAATGATGCTATGACTACTCTTGCACAGTGGAGAGTTAACTGTTGGCTTCAGCTTGATGCCACTTGTCTATAAGGCGGTAGCCGATGGTGGGGAGGAAGTAGCGGCTGGTAGCACTCTGGCCTCGCCTTTTCTCCTATTCCCGCCTTCCATTGGTCCGTTTCGATCTTGCGCGTCTCTCGCATCCCGCTCCACGCTTCATCCCTTCATTGCGACCATCGAAGAACGATTTTTACTAATTGGGGGGGAAACTCACTTGCGAAACCCCTAAAGCAGATTGCGTGATTTATTGCCGTCCCTTTCGTATATGACTACAAAAGAGCCATACGACTCCGAAGAATAGGAGATCCGTCTTACGAAACCGCAATTATTTTCCCATTCCAACAATAAAAACGAATAGACGCAACAACAACTTCGCTTCTGCATTTTTTTCTCCTCTACGTTTTTTTATATATATATTTCGACCCGCTTTTGTCTCTATCGCTTCTGGTTATCAGATTTTATGTCACCATTATCTGCGGCAATCGATTTTCCGGTATTGCCAATTTTCCATACAACAACTCACCACAATTACAACTTATTTTCATGCAAATTTTCATATTTTTAATTGCACTATTAATTAGAAAATTGATTACAATAATTCTCAATTAGATTCATAAACTAAAATTGTTTATTTTTACTATTGATTCATTGATATTTTATGAATAAGCACATTCTCATCATTTTTTTCCTTAATGTAGAAATATTAATGTCTCATTGTTTTCTAACTAGTGCAATAATAAAAGCTTTTTACGCAACAAAAATACGTATTTGAACGTCAATATTTTTTGAATGATTCTCATTCAAAACTATCCATTTCTAAGTTTTATATGTTATGAAGAATCTTAAGAAAGTTTTCTATTTTAATTATTTTCTAATTTTGTCTTAAATTAATAAAAAAAAAACATAATAAAAATTGAACATTCCAATTATAATAGTATGAATTATTAAATAATACACAACCGCGTCTTATGAAAATAAGCTTTATAAGAATCTTAGAATTAGTGTAAATAAGATTAATTCGTACCGTGTTCTAAGCAAATCGCGTTATAAAAGTACTATTTTAAGATGGCAATAAATTTACAATTAAGAAAATATTATTGGTCTAACACTTTTTCTTTTATTGAACTTATCTTAATTCTTAATTTAGAAATCGTGTTATAAGAGTTTCGCGTTATTAGCGTTAGATGGAAAACGTATTATAAGAATACCGCGGTTTTATTGTATAGCTTTTTTGTTTGTTCTAATAATATTAAGCAATATTTCTCATCTAGAATCGATTTTTTTTTGTAAAACTTTCTGTTAAAAACATATTTTCATACCGATTTTGCTGAAATTCTTGCATCAAAAAGTAATAACATTTTATGGTACTTCAAATATGTCTCACAATTAAATAACTATTACTAAACTGCTATGATTTCTTCCGAGAATCTTAAAACAAATACGTAGAAATGACAGTTACAATTCAATTTCTTCAGTTTGTTTTTGAAAACATCGGGAAGTTTTATTATGTACACCAATAAAGATCCTTTACTTATTCAATTCCTAAAGAAATTAGATACAATAATAAAATGGTTGTCAGCTTATGCAATATGCAAAATGCTTAAAATATATACAATTTCTGTTAACACCTACATGCAAAACGATAATCTAGTAAAAATATACGGTTTTAAAATAATAAAGAAATAAAAATATTTGTACTGTATCAGTAAATATTATGAATATAAACATAAAAGATCTTGGAAATGTTGTATTTTTGCATTAAGCATAACTGTATTTCCTGCATCATTAATTTTATTAGGTATGCCGAAAATTGCAGAAAAACAACCCTCAGTTTTACGAAGCGCCAATAAATACTTTAAGGGGATGAAACCCTTGCTATTATAAAATTTATTTATATAAAACATATTTATTAGACACAATTTGTGCCGAAAGGGTTTGTAAAATCATATTTTCGACTACTGCACATTTTTACTCATACCTTGGGTTTTCCTCTCGTAATTACATAAATTTGCTTCATTTTATCTAAGAAAAAAATTAATAATAAAACGATAACTTATATATTTCTAGGAGAAGCAACATTTATTTAGAGATATATTTTTCTTAATTAATTATCAGTAATTTTCAATAAATTCAATTGAATTCACATTTTCTTTCTAATCAATATTAATTAGATGCGATTTAATTAATTGATTTTTTTTTGGAATATATCAAAAATCCTGTACATAATTAACAAAATACTTTTATACACTAAAAGTATGTAATTTATTATATATAATTGTTGGATACATTAGGAAAGTTAAGCAATGGTACTTGAAAAGGTGACCGATTTTCTTAAAATTGTGATTTAAAACCAAATGTAAAAGATGTGAATAATCCAAAAATATTAATTTATACTCAATGCTTCTATCTAGGATTAAATAGATTAAATCTTGTATAGTGCGGCTTCAATCAGTCCGGTTTCACAATAGTCACAATTGATTGATCTTTTTTAAATTTTAAACAATCAAATGTTTTTTGTGTAATTTATTTATACGTGTATTTAGTTCCTCGATTAGTTCGGTTTCAAATAATCCGCACTATTTGAGGCATTATTAATTAATTGTGTATATTAATCAAATGCGTTCCACTATAGTCACAATCGATTGTTTTTTTTTAATTTTAAACAGTCAATTCTCTTTTTGTGCCCTTTATTAATACATGTATTTAGTTCCTGGATTAGTCCGGTTTCAAATACACCGCACTATGTGAGGTATTATTCAATTGATTCAATTTTATAAAAATTTGAACAGTCAAATCTCTTTTTGTGCGCTTTATACATGTATTCAGTTCCTCGACTAGTCCGGTTTCAAATAATCCGCACTATTTGAGGTATTATTAATTAACTGTGTATATTAATCAAATGCGTTTCATTACAGTCTCAATTGATTGTTTTTTTTTTATTTAAATTTGAAACAGTCAAGTCTCTTTTCGTGCGCATTATACATGTATTCAGTTCCTCGATTAGTCCGTTTTGAAATAATCCGCACTATGTGAGGTATTAACCAAATGCGTCTTATACACCAATAATTAAGTATGTTTATGAACTGCTGTAAAGTTTTATGACTGCGATTTGGATGATCGAAAAAAATTAAATTTCTCGCTTAATCCATCCATATTTTCGTTTTTGTTCTATTCTTCGTTCATTGACGGGGTGTTTACTGTACGCTTCGGTAGCTTAAAGTTGTCGTGTCCATGAATGGATAGCGATGGATTTACAGTTTGTTTACGCATCCGCGCGACGGGGTGCTGACGTCCATTAGCATTGTGCAGCACCGGGATTAATCCAGGATAATCCTGGACCGTCCATTTCCTCGACCTCACCTCACTTTCCTCACCTGTGCCTTCGCACTTTGTTTTTCTGTAGTACACACAACGTTTGGCAGGTCTCGAAATGTGGAACGGCTTAAGTGGTCTTTTCACCTATTGTTGAACGGGGCAGTACGTGTGCAAATCACCTTTACTTTCTGTGTGATTTTTCGAATTATCTGAGGATTTCCAAATGGGGCGAAAAAAGAAAACAATTTGCACACCTAATCTAATAATATTTTTGCTTAACGACGTGGGTGATTAGAATAACTGAAATCCGTCAAAACTGAGATAAGCACACCAGATGCGTGACTTCGAATAGAAATGTTATATTAACAACAGATTATTCAAGAGATTTCATCAACAGTTTCAGATTCAACACTTACTGGAAAGATTTTGAAATTTTTTGCTTACACAATAAAATTATAATTTCTCAAATTTTAATTAACTTTAATATTCGTTATTTCTTCCATCTAAATTTCGATCAGTACGGATTCACTATAGTCCAGTTTTCAAATTTTAAAACAAACTAAATTTTAATTTACTAAAATAAAAATAAATATTAAAAAATTATTATTTTTTGTTGTTTATTTTTATGCGCTTTTAAAGTCCTCGATTAGTCCGGGTAATTGGTAGGTATTCCTGTCATTTTGATCCACTAATTTTTCAGAAAATTAACAAATAATTTGTTAAAGCGGTCACCTGTTCAAGTACTGTTGCTTAACTTTTCTTATTTATCCAATAATAATTAACTTACAGACGTGACCAAAGGTTCTTTAACAATTCGTTAAAAATCGTGTATTTTTTAACGAATTGATAAAGAACTCTTGTTATATTTTAAATGCTGTTTTAAAGTCCTCGATTAGTCCGGGTTATTGGCGGAATCGATTACCCGCACTATGCGAGCTTTTCCTTAAGTTGGTAATTTGTATTTATTAGGAGATTAAACTAATTAATTATTTAACAAATCTACTCGTTTCTCAGAAAACTAATAAATAATTACTCTTATACCAGAATTTGGACAAGCGGTCACCTGTTCAAGTACGATTGCTTAACTTTTCTAATTTATCCAATCAGTTTATAAGTTAAAAAATACACGAAATCGACTTAATAATTTCCATCTAAATTTCAACGTTTGTTTGTTAAATATGATTTTAAAGTCCTCGTTTAGTCCGGGTTTTTAGCGAAAATGATTACCCGCACTATTCGAGGTCACTATAATTAATTCTCAATATAATTATGTAACAAATCTACTTCTCAGAAACCTTACAAACAAACACTTTTATACCAAAATTTCTTAAAGCGGTCATCTGTTCAAGTACTATTGCTTAACTTTTTTAATTCATCCAACCAGTTTATAAGTTAAAAATACACGAAATTCACTGAACAATCTCCATCTCAATTTGAACGTTTGTTTGTTAAATATGATTTTAAAGTCCTCGATTAGTCTAGCTTTTTGGCGAAAATGATTACCCGCACTATTCGAGGTCACTATAATAAATTCTCAATATAATTATGTAATAAATCTACAAATATCTCAGAAACCTTACAAACAAACACTTTTATATCAGAATTTCTTAAAGCGGTAATCTGTTCAAGTACTATTGCTT